GAATAATAATTATTTTATTTTCTATGTTATTTATTATTCATTTAAATATATATTATTTATTTTCATTTATTTACAATATGTAATTGTATCAATTTGACATAATATTGATGACTTATATTTATTTATCATGTTTTGTTCAACACAAAAACAAAGTACAAACAAACAATAATAGAATATTTTCATACACATTAAACAATGAAATTATATATGAAATGGTGATGTAATGAAGTTTAAAAGAAAAAATAAACACATGATAAGAAAGAGCGAAAATGAAACAAAAAACAAAAGATAGAAAAACTAAAATCAAAAAATGAAACATATACTATACTCATAATAGTAAAATAAAATAAAAAGAATAATAAAAAGAAGAGAATTTATAAAAAAAATGAAAAAAGAAAAAATAGAAAGAAAAAACCAAATAATACTATGAAATACATGAATTTCTACTAAGAATGAATAAATAAAAAATAAAATAATTGAATTTTTAGATAAGAAGAAAAATTATTTATTTTTAAAATAATGAATTAAACAAAATATGAGAAATAAAAAAGAAATAGTTTAATTTCTATTAGCTCTCTGTTTATTTAATCCACTTCTTAATTTTGTCTATGTTGTTAACAAGTTCTTCAAACTCATAATCTTTTAATGAAATTCCTTTCTGTCCTGGTTTTAATTCTCCATCTCGCTCATAAAACTCTCTCACATCAATATATTTTGTCCCTTTAAATTGATTAAGTCTAACATATTTTCTTTCTCCTAATTGTACATATTTGTCACCTTCAAATGGAAGTTTTAATTCTTCTTTTTTTTCCTTTTTAGCTTTTTTCTTACTTACCTTTTCTTCTTCTTCACTACTACTATCTTCTTCCTCTTTTTTAGCTTTTTTCTTAATTTCCTTTTTGTCTTTGTGTATAATTTTCTTTTCTTCTTCTGACTCTGAGCCTGTTTCTTCCTTTTTAGCTATTTTCTTACCTGTCTTTTCAACTTCTTTCTCTTCATCTTGTGACTTATGTTTAGGTTTTTTATCTGACATTCTTCTAATTTCTATGTTTTTTGAGTTTATCATTATTCTTTTATTATTTTTTTATTAACTTATTCTATTCTTCACTTCTTTTTATCACTTTCTTGTACATCCTCGTTATTTGCCAAATAACAACGATTAACTCCTCCTCACTCCCACCTTCTTTTCATTATACTCCCCTTCATTATTCTAATATGTTATTCGTTCTTTTATTTTCATTTAACACCTCTATATATTTGTGCTTATTTTTACTTAATGAAAGAACAAACTAGGTTAATCCAATAAACAAAGACAAATGATGGTGGTATTGAATACCATACAAAGAAGAGAAGAATGAAAGATAGAAATAAGTAAATAAAAATTCTTTCATTTTTGAATAAATTTATTGAGTGAACCTTTTATTGAAATGATTGTAAAAATAAAACATGAAAATCAAAGTTAAAGTCATTGCTTTTTTTATCTAAAATACATGAATTAGTATCGTATTATGTATTTATGATTGTTTGAACATCAGTATTGTCTTTTGCAATAACAACAAATTGTGTTGTTTTTAACAATTTCATAAAATATTGATTCAATTCTCCTCCTTTTTTGACAATCCCTTCTTCCATCATAATCATAGAATTATCGTAAAATATTCCTACCACAAATTCAAGTGCTATTTGTCCATTTTTTCTTTTAATTGTTTGATGTTTAAAACTAAATCCTAATTCTCCAAGTATATCTTCTAAAAGATGAATTGAATAAATAATTCTATTTCTTTTTAATCTTTCACTTGCTGTTGTTTCTTTAATATTATTCTTTCTATCTTCATTATACATACTTTTAATCATATTTTCAATGAATTCCCAAAATAATATTGTATCTGTTTCTTCAAACTCAATAAATTCAATACAAAGAAATGGTTTTGTCACTGTTGCTTTAACTGTTCTTCTTTTGAGCATAATTTTAGCATATCTATTGATTAATCCAATGAATATTGATTGAAGAGATACTTGATAATTAATTTTATCTTTGTAGTTCTTGAAATATGCTTTTTCTTTATGTTGGCTCATTCCTTTCTCAAAAATTATTCTACTTCTTTTGAAAATTACTTTTTATTCCTTTCTATTTTCAAAATTTTCAACCAAAAAACTTAACTTCTCTTTTATTTTCTCCTTTATTCCTTTCTTCTCTTTAACGGTAGAACATATTCATATGCTTCTTCATTTCTTCAAAATATTTCTCATATTTTTTTAATTCCATTTCAACTCTCATCTCTCCTATTCTTTCTACTTTTCCATCTTGATATATTTCAATTTCTACTATCCCATTTCTATTAACCTGACATTTAACTGTCATTTCAAATTTTGAATTATTCTCTGGTATTCCTCTAATAGTTACA